GAGTTCCTCGTCATTCAACACTTCCCACCTCGTATCGCCCGACTTCCAACAGTCTAAAAGAGTATGGAGGTCCGGAAGCGCGTTGGTCACACTGCTGAGGTTTGTGAATGGGATATGCTCCGGCCATCCTTTGATGGCGACCTGATAGCGGTTGACCACGTTACGAAAGTAGTCTGCCCACTGCATCCTGGCATTGCTTTCTCCGGTCACCTTCCCTATGAATAAAATGAATTCTGTGCTGTCAAAAGATGGGAAAGACTTACTCAATTTCTGGGTGATGATTGCTCGAATGTCTCCGCGAACCTTAGAGACCTCTTTTTGATGGTTGCTTGCGGCACCTAGTACAAATAGAAATTAACTTGAGAATGTAATAACAACGGAAAAACTGTACCTTGTATCCCTTGGATAGCGAAACCTTCCATCTTGCTGAGGAAGTCCTGAGTATCGATGCCGATGACAGAGTCCATAAAGTGATTGACACCCGGCGTTGTGAAGGTGATTGCACGGAGAGGTAGATCAGTAGTACCGCGCGTCATATACAACATGACCTCGGCGCCAGTGCGAGAATTTAAACTATTGAGCTAGTAACGAGACACTTAGTAACATTGTATTGCAATTCGAGGGTGCGTACCTCGTTTTCTACCGCCTTCAGGGTTTGAGTGATGTCGTTGATCTTCGACTTCGTTGAGACACGTAACCCAGAGACCTTGGTCTCCTTCTGGTCGGCGAATTCCTGGAGCAACTCTTGTTGTTCTTCCTGTGTGAGAGCGTGGTATTCATCCTTGTGGTCGCGGACCAGTGACTGGAGTGCTTCCTTTCCGTGGCCATTGCCTGTTAATTCAACATTGAGTCATGAAAATGCATATGATACAAATCAACAGACTTACAGTTCTCTTTCTTCGCTTCCTGAGATTTCTTCCAGCAAAATGCGTTCCAAACGCTGGGCTTTGAATGCTTCGAACGGAGTGATCCCCGACCCATGTATAAATTGTGCTGTACACGACGGAAGCTCTTGCGATGGGTAGCAGCAATGGTTGTTGTAACATCGTCAATTTGGCCCCATGCAAGATCAAGCGCATCCTTGAATTGACGCGACTTCTCGGTTCGCTGAAACTTGAGTGCCGCGCGAGCTTCTTTGCTGAGGGTGACCTTAGGACGACTACGAGGTGGTGCTTGAATGCGCTTCGCAGCATAGAAGGACTGGGAGACCATCACCCACAGAAGGATGGCAAAAATCAGCAAAGGGCCTTTGTAGTTGAATACGAATATTTTATACACACCAATGCATTTATTTTTTCTAACCCACGGCAAAAAAACAGGACACATGGCTTATAACTAAGACTCAAAAGGGGAAAGTGATCTACAGCCAAAATAATAAGATGCCGAAAAAGTATAGGCCGCATAAGAAAATCAATATACCAATAAGCTTCAAAATGGACATGAGGACAGATGACGGCTGCTATGGACATTCAATTGAGTTAGTATGACAGCAGCAGCCAAAATAATATCACTGACCTTTACAACATCAGGGCTACGTGGCATGCCCTGAAGGTCAGCCAGGAGCGCCCTAGACAGAATGGAAGCATGTTCGTACGAGAGATCCCATTTTGGAGACCTGAACACTGCCTCCCATCGGCTGCTACGCACAGTTTGAACTAGAACATGGAGCTTAGGTAAAACTTCATCCCCCAACTTAATCCAATCCAGAGCGGCGTCAGTATTCGGTCCAATACTAATGAGTGGCGGTCCACATGCAGTATCCTGCTCCAGTCTTGGTACCGAAAAAATCGGGCCATCATTAGTTACCTTGCCGGGTGTGAAAATTTCCGCGTGCCTGCGTCGGCGAACTCGTGTGTGTTGGGTGGTCAGCTGTGGCGAAATGTTCTCGCCAATACCTTCGCTCATTTCTGCACCCCCACGGATAGCTGCAGAAGGAGCATCGTGCACCGCAGTTGCTTTCAATTCTTGCGTGAAGGTATGGGCCGGTTGAGCAGAACATTGTATATGCGCTCCAGTAGCAACCACTGGGCCAGGTAGATACTGTGGGCCCTTGACATTGATATGAGCCGCAGAAACTGTTGAATTTGAGTCAGTTGTGTGAACAGTGAAGCCGAAAATGATCTACTACTTACAGCATGGTGGCGGTTGGATGTTTTCGATGACACAACGTTGATTGAACCGCTCGAGGTTGTGGCATTGCAAACTCCTGGGCAAATACCTGCACCCAGACGGCAAGGTCTCCGCCAATTCGCTCGGGAGTTTCTTGTAGTTCGCGGGGCGTAATGTAGAGGTCGACAGGGAGGTTTTCGGGTGAAGAGACTGCTTCAGACCCAGCGCATCGAATGAGGACAGAAATTCCGCCATCAAGGCGATCTTGCATACTCAGCTGGGAAACAAGTGAGACATAAATAAGATGCGGACACTGACTTGAATGACTCACGGCGTCGAAGACGTCTTGCAGTGATGCCTCCAGAAGCTCCTCGTGGGTAAGGGATTTTTCACTGGTTCGTTTAGCAGTGCTGCTAAAGGCAAAGTACGACGGGTGAAGGCCACCAGGCAGTCTAGCCTGATAGTGTGTCCCGTCAATGTGAACGTCGTGTCTCAGTAAAGCCCTGGCGGCTGCTTGACGTTCGTTATTGCTGAATCCTTGAGCGAACGTTGAGTTGTGTAGATTGGCAAGACTGGGGATGGCGAATTTTTTAGTGGCTGATTCCGTGGTTTGACTTGAGGGCTGAACGGAGGTGATAGACGCAGTGGCTCTGAGGCTAGAGATTGGAGTGACCATTATGGAACCGGTGATGTAGTCTGTAGTTGTGAAGCAAGGTTAAAAGCACAGATAAGCGCCAAAACGTAAAATGTAATACTCACTTTTGCAGGCCATGCAATTCTGGAATGAGTTCCAGAAGCACAGATCAAGCATGAAATAGCAGTGGTCGTAAACCATGAAGAAAATGAAAGGCTGGCGACTTCAAGTTGCTGCTATAGAATTCAGCTGAATACATGTGTTCAGCAGAATATTGCGTTGTCCGTGATTTGACACTCAATACAGCACGTGAGCTCACTTTGCAAGATCGGATATCACACAACTACATAGTACAAAATAGTATACAATGCATATTCATACAGGAATGACAAAGGACTATGCTATGAACGGCATGACACTTCAGATAGCCGCATAATCCTCCGAGTCAGGCAAAGAGTCTCCCTAACATTCAAGAAAGCCTACCAGGGGTCGCCAAACTAGCCTATCTGAATATCATCGTGATGAGGTCACCACAGGAGAAAGCTTGAGATTGCCAACTAACCTATCCAAACATCATCGGCATTCAAGTTGGTCCACCTATCCGAACATCATCGGCATTCAAGTTGGATCAAGGTGAGATCGCCAACTCACCTATCCAAACATCATCGACATTCAAGTTGGATCAAGGAATCGCGACAAGGTCACCATGCAGAAAGCTCGGGGTCGCCAACTAACCTATCCGAACATCATAGGTATTCAAGTTGTTCAATTCTTTCTTATATCACCCACACAATCACTTATACAATCGTCTACCTACTCTTTCTTATATCACCGATCAAACCAGAAAACTTCTCATATATGTAGTCCTATGCGGTACATGAAAAAAAACAATTACAAAGCAGAGATGGTGTCAGTCGTTTATTGAGTACAAAAAATCAGCCATGTCTTCAGTGACCACTTCGTGCTCTTCACGGTCAAGGGCTTCAATATCATGGAATTCCGACGCAGAAGAATCAGGATTCTCTGCTTGTGCTGTGGCGAGAATTAATGCGATATAGGTAGTTAAAGATCCACACTCACCGGAACTAGCACCGTTGGTATTGACTGGTCTGCTGAACGCAGGATTCGCAAGGTGAGTTCCAATGCCACTAATACCAGAGAATCCAAATAGTCTCTCAATCTGATCTAACCGATATGTGTGCACAGCGTTGATAGCCGCCCGTGAGCGCCACTGGCGTTTCAACTCGGCAGCAAGCAAAGGGTTAGCTACAAGAAGTTTGTCGATAACGGCAGACGTGTCAATGGTTTCATCGTGGATAGCAGTTCGGAGCCGGCGAATTTCAATATTGAGTCGAATAATTTCTTCGCGAGCTCGGCAGAGCTTGAAGTACTTTGTAGTCGCCTCACGGTGAGCTGGCCTTGCTCAATCCTTGTCTTGGATGTCAGTACGAGAGTCACGCAGAAGGTCAAACTCGCCAAGGAAACTGTATTCGGCAATGTCTTTCCATGTGATCGTTTGTCTCGGTGGGATGAGGGAAGCAGCCTGGATATTGTAGCGATTGATCGCGTTGCAAATAGTGTCCGAGCGCCGCTGTAAAGCTTTACTAATCTGTTGACGTAGTTTGTATCCTAAACAATTTGTAAACGAATCAGTCATAGTACAAGCGCTTACTAGTAGTGGAAATCTCAAACCTGTGCCCGATAACGAGAGCTTTGAGAGTTCAAACAATCTCATGATGACCAAACGTTCGAGTTCATCCAATGCAGTACGATACTTGCCGAGTGTCGCTTCCTCCTTGAAACGTTTGTATTCGTCACCGCCAATCAACCATCTCTCATCGACAGATAAGAGTGTTTCGCAATGAGCAACAAGCCCCTCGGCATGCTGTAATTTGGCGTATGAAGAATTAACTCGGATGCGAGCTTGCTTCAGGGCGTCATGCATCTGTTCCAAGCTGCCAATATGTACTCCATTAAGAGCGTTATTGCCAGATTCACGGGCGAGATCCCATTCAGCTCTATTAAAATTCATATCAGGGGATGGGTGGTAGTTAGTAGTCGATGGCACGATACCTTCTTTCAGCGAGTTCGTCTAGTACTTCAACGTAACGTATAGAGAGTCGATCTCGTGGAGCTGGCTGCTTCAGACCATCCAGATATATGCGTTCCTGATCAAAGAATCCAGGGAAGTCGTTGTCGCTAAGGCGTAGCTCGGCCTTGATAGTTTCTAGCTCGGCTGTCAGCAACCGAACAGATTTCAACGCTTCGCGATAATGAGTCCACAAATAATTACCTGACACTGCGGCATCAGTATTACAATTACAGCTTGATTTTTTGACTTACTAAGTGCAGCATACTTATCGGCATCCCAAAAAGCGAAATGTTCCTCGATGGCTTGGTGGCGATGAAAACAGTTAGCATGCCTTGTGCTACGCGCAAGCTCGTTAGATGCAGAGAAGATATGCTCACAACCCTCGCCCTCAGTATGGCCAGTTCCAGAGATATACATTGGGTGCCAGTCAAGCTGACACCTTCGATTGTGCGCATGGCCATGGAAGGCGCCAACCATCATCCGAAAGCCGAGATCGTGTGCACGAGGGCCCAACGTACTATTAGCTAACGTCTTCGAGAATGCGCAACCGATATCGTACGCGCAACCTCCATTTTTTCCATATACCGTAAGGAGTTTGTCGATGATCGCTATCGGATATTTCGCACTGCCAGAATACATTAGTAATATAAAAATTAGATCAAAATGCGGTCTTACAGTTCTCCGCTTCGGATCATATCACACGCGAGAAGCACAAAGCGATGGCGGCATGAAGCGATAAAAATACCTGACTCTTGGAATACGGCAAACATCTTCTTACGTGAGTCTGGGCCAGCGTTTCTCCATCGATTGACGCATGTGAATGCTCCCGGATGATCTGGGTCTGTAGGCTCATCCTCCCAGTCGTCATCATTCCTCAAGTCTGTCTAAAAGATAATGTTAGAACATAGTTGTATACATAGTAAACACTTACTTGTCGGGATTTGACTTCATTCTCAAACTTGTCAACAGCGTCAGCATGAATCCAATAATCCGAACGAGCTGTGCGAGAATCAGATCGGGCGGTGGTACCATAGATGGACGAGTCCCATCGCTTCAGGCTATTGTTACCATCAATTGATACCAGCCATTCAAAATCGAGGGCAGGTTCATCGTCGAGCTTGTAAAAGCATGCAGGGCATGTGTTTAACATACGCCAGTTGACGGTATCCCGTTTGAGCGCCTGACGCAGACGCTGGTTGATGCGATGGAGGATTTCTAGAAAAACGTCATAGGCTGCCGAGAATTGCATTTTTAAGTATGGCCGATATGGAATCTACAAACTCAACGTAAATAAACGAACCTCAATGTGAGGAATGTACGTACATCGTGAAGGTAACATAAAGTCTTGCATTGTGATTGGATACTGAACCGGGGACACGTTCGGTGCGACTGACGGTAGGCAGCGAGTGTACGAAGCGAGATGGCAACAGAAGGATACATCGGGGCACACCCGATGTACCCATAGTAGATGAGGGTTTCATTCGGGTATTGATGAGACGGTAATGGTCGTAGATGTGAGCGCCTTCGTGCTGCAAAGAAAAAATAAGTACAAGATATCAAGGAACGTTTCAGACTTACTGAATGTATCAATGAGTTCAATCTCATTAATTGAGAATGAAGCATCGACACCTGACAGGACCTGATCTGAAATATCAGGCATACCGTCCCCGGAATCTCGACTGCGATAGTTTAAGTAGGCGTCAACGAGACGATCTATCTGAAGGCCCCAATGAGCGGTTTGAGTGTCGATGCGTTCTCCCCGAATTCGTGGATCAATGTGATGACTACAATGGGTGTTAATATTTGAAGAGTTGTACACAGTGGTGAATACGTACTATCCAGTTAGATCCGCCAGTTGATGAGCAAGGTCTTCAAATGCCTCATGCTCCCCACCTGCGTGACTGAGGTCAAAGGCCTCTTCACCTGGAGGCACTGTATGGGTGAACACCTCCACGTCCATTCCAAAATCTGCCATCATATTTTCGACGCGGCTTCGGTCCTCTGATGACATTTCTAATACAACAATAAGCGTTAATGATAAAAAAAGAAAATAGTACATACCTTGTATAGCAGCCTGGCGGCTGGAATCTGCCTCTGCCATACGCTGGCTTTGTTTGCCGGCTGCCAGGACTTTGGAATAGCGATGACCCCCTCTAAAACCATGGGAAATGATGGATTTCGAGAGCCCTTTGACCCTCCCGACACCTGAGGCACGAGGCATTACTGGGTTGGGGCGACGAAGGCACGAGGGAGGCGGGAAACGGCAGATACGAAGGAGGGCAACGACGAAAGCACGAGGGAGTTGGGAAACGGCAGGTACGGACGACGACGACGACGAAGGTACGAAGGAGGTTGAGAAGGCACGAGGGAGGTGGGAAACGGCAGGAACGAAGGAGGTTGACGACGACGACGACAAAGGCGGAACAATGGGGGCACGATGGAGGCAGGGAACGGCAGGGACGATGAGCACAGTGATGAGGAGAGCTAGGAAGCGTGAGAAGGGCCCCTTGGTTCGAATTAGGAAGCGTAGTAGGCGTTGCCGAGCGTGCCGAATTAAAATAGGAATATGACGCAATTAAGGCGGGGCGGGATGCTTACCGAATATAGCCTATGCGCGCGCGCGCCCACCATAGTGAGGTGTACATAGTTTTTTTGAAGGTATTTTGAGGAGCTGGGGCACTATTTAACGCTGGTGTAGGGATTTGATGAAACCAAGCCTAATTATAGTTGGCGAGACACGTAACTGCCAAGTATAATAAGGCTTATTAATAGGGCAACCCAGGTGCGATCAACCCTTTGCCCTATGTCATCCGTCACGCGGAGTGCGTTACTGTGACAGGCACGAGAATCTTGCCAAATTAGTGTCGGGGCCTCCCTTGACTCACAGGCAGGAGCTATCTGATCTCCGCACAGAAATATCGGCGTGCTGAAGATGGCTTGGGATAAGCTGTCCTGCCGACAGCTTCGTGGCTGACATCGACATCAAGTATCCGACCGCGCTAGAAGCAAGGACGTTCGAGGATGCCGAAGAAGCAGGACCTGCAGGCAACCAGCAGTGATTTTACATACTGGTCAATATCACAGGCAATGCAATGTGTATCTCGGATTTCCTGATGAATGAGTTCTTGAAAGAGATCGCAGCGAGAGCAACCTCGATGTGAGGAAAATGAATTAAAGTGCCGGGCAACTCTTCCATCTTTCCGCCAAAGCTGAGTGGGAGGCCATGCCTTGGAACGATCGCGCCACCATCTTCCTGCGTGCTGCAGAACTTCTTAGCGGCAAGTACCGTTACAGATTGGTAGCAGCTACTATGTTTGGTTAAGGGAAAAACGCTTTGCAGGCCGAGATCGATGCTGCCGCAGAGGTGTGTAAGCTTGATGGCAGTCGGTTGATGGAATTTTCGCAGCTTTCCGTTTCGGCGTCAAATGTGTCGAGGAGCTCTACACACAACAGCCTCCTAAGAACGCAGCAGGATCATGGAAGTAAGTGCGATGCCCCTTCCATCAAGCTACTTCTGATGATTGGATAGCTGCGTCGAGTATCGTGCGCTGGAAGGCTTTGTTCTCGCAGTTTCGCCATTCAACTTCACAGCGATCAGTGGAAACCTTCCAGGTGGTACGAGTCACTATTTTTATCCTAATCATTGCGTTCTGAACCAGACAAATTAGTTCCCTCAATCGTCGGTAACACAGTCGTATGGAAACCTTCACCAGCAGCCACGTATTCCAACTACTTGATCTATCAGATCCTCGCGGAGGCTGATGTTCCACCCAGCGTCATTCAGTGCATTCCAGGCCATTTCCAGAAGTCATCGCACCCCCAACTTTGCTGCGCTCCACCTCACAGGCAGCACGTTTATAATCAAGAACCTATGGAAAGACATCACCGCAAATCCGGACAAGTAAAAAGGTATCCGAGAATCGTCGGTGAGACAGAAGGAAAGAACTTCCGTGTCATCTACAAGTCGGCAGAGATCCGAAATGCAGTTTTGCAGATCATTCGAGTGAGCGAACGACGGTGTAACTACATACCAACTATGTCTCAACACCAAATTCAACTTGGTTGTATCTGGCGTCGCACGATTCTTCGGTGGAGACGAAGCCGTACAAGCCATATTGACTATCCACTGATACAATGCTCTCAGTGGCTTCGCCGTCGTCAAGTGCCTGAGCACCATCGGGTCTGAAACGCACTTTTCTCTGGGCTTGACGAAAAGCCATAAAAAGTTCTCGGGCTAAACAAGCAGTTGAGTCCTAAAAACATCGCTTCTCTGTGTGGCACCATCATTGGAAGGAACTGGAACGACTCACGTCGCGTACCTTGTAACCCAGATGAACAAGGAGGCCCCCAAAGGCCGATGTACCACACTGTCTAACAGTTTGGTTGATATATGATTGTACCTGACAGGCACCTCACTAGTAGTTGCCGGACATTTGTGCGCTGCGTGGGTATGATATTATAAGTAGTTGTAGATTGCTATGCATTCTACTTACACGATGTCGATGAGGGGTCATCCGAACTAGTAAGTCTCGACCCTGAAATGAAAATTCCCACCAGGTCCCCACGTTCGGTTACCTTGAGGAAATGAGCCTATTGTTGAGTTGCTTTACAACTAATGGTTAGATTTACTAGATGCCTATCCTCAATGTGTCCATCAGCCAGTCGAGCTTCAATCTCGACACGTCGGGCGTCGCTGGATTCTTCGGTGGGGATGAAGCCATCTCAGCGATGGCAACTGTCCATCTCTACCGCGGGAGGCGCTGGCTAGGCTGGTATAATTCACCAGGAAGTTACATTGTTGCCAAAAAGTTCGGGCAACTTGCTAATTCGCGATTTTGGGATGGGCTTTTCCCTGGTCCAAATTTAACACCAGCTGAAGTATTTGGGCTGGATGGAAAGACCGGCCCCCGTTATTGGGGCGTTTTGTCAGGCACGGATATGGCCTGTGGTCACCTGGCATACCTCGTGGTGCAGAAGACGGAAGAAGTCGAGGAAGTGGTAGAATTGGGAGGACGGGAGACTATACCTCAAACAGTCACCATCCTCGATGTCGGAGATGTGATACTCGAGCACACGGACCAGGCGCCAATGATGAGCGTCCACCATGCTCTCTTGGCCGCTATCCCCATTACCATCAATCTCGCAACGTGCGTGCTTTGCGCGGCTTCGGGAGATTGGCTAGCTTTTGCCCTCATCCTGCTGGGAGTCATTTCAGGCGGGACATCTTGCTTTGTCATCGGCTCTGCTCAACTCGACTTTCTTGCTGGCGTGAAAGAACCCTCTCCAGGCACGCCGCCTGCAGACGGGATACTCCTGATGCGAAACAATGTAGTCATTGTCCGAGGCGCAGAGAAAGACATTAATCCAATAACGAAAGGCAAATTCGTCCTAAGGATGCATGGCGGCCCAGAGTACAGACGGATTGGACTCTGCTCGCTTCTCCTCCTTGCGCAGTTCCTTCTCCAGCTCCTTTTCATGCCTCAGGCATCGACATTCGGGCAGATCATGTTCATTTCATCGGTTGCGGCCTCATGGGCATATAATTCATTTTTGTCGTCGTTAGAGCAGGAGAAGATACAAGTCGATCTCCTATGGAAAGCACTTGGTAATCCACGACTATTGAAATTTGGCCTCAAAAGCAGAGCTGCTCAGGCAGTTTTTGCATGCTTGGTCCTCAGTCATGGCATCCAAAGGCCATCTGTCGACTTCAAACCAAAGAAAGTCTTGCATCGGTTCATCTCGAACGACACGAGGGTATGGGATGTATGGAGAGACAAAGTGGCGGAGCAGTTGGAAAATAACAAAGCAGAAAAGTCGTTCAAGCTTAGCTCAGACGATCTACGAGGGTTCGGAGATCATGAAAGGGCCCTCCTGGCGTCATTGCTTCGAGACGCAGAGGACACGTATGGAGGTTACCAGGAGCAAGTACATAAGATCAAAGACAATAGCCACATTTCTGAGAAACAAGTAACTCGACCGGACTCCGTTGTTTAGAGTTGTAACGTACGTACCACCTGTTCAGAAGTTATACAACCCTAGATGACATTAACATAATACACGGTGAACTCGGTGCGCCCAGATCGTGAGGACTGATGAGTACAGATGAAATCGAGCACATACCAGCAAAGGTGTCAACATACCCATGTGGGTAGGTAACACGACCAGTCATGGAACCATGGCGCAGTATTCATCAAAATTGCGAAAGATAAATGAATAAAGAATGCCAGCTAAACGATTCTCGAGGTCAATATGCATACGCACTGGGACTTCAACCCACCATCTCGGTGAGCGCTTAAGCTTCACCTCCAGGGAATGCACTTGACTTGGCGTTGGACAGGTCGCCTCGGGTTCTGTATCCCTCCACAATACTAACAACAGCACCTTTCCAGGCGACGACATACACTCCGGTAAGATATTCTTCGAGTCTCCAACCACCTTTCCACGTGCCATGGTACAAGCGCGAAGGCCGAGATATACCTCGAGAAATGTAAGGGAGTTCATGGCAATAAAGAGATGATCGTCTGGTAAGGTTCTGTCCGGCCAAATTTGCTTGAAAGTAATGGTCCCTATGTACCAAAGGTCTCTCTTGATAAGAGGAAAACCGAGCAGCTGACGGTTGCCACATGGAGCCCTGGGAGGCCTACGAGAACGTACTGAGATACATCTGAGCTGTATTTAGAGGGCACCCATTGCACCGCGGTGGACGTTTCTTGTGAGTCAGACTCTGAGATCTTTGGACAAAATGAGTGGCAGTACGCGCCAAATTAATTGAAGATGAAGGTTCAAGAAGCCACTCACCTGAAGTTTTCTTAGACTTCGTTTGAGTTGGCTTGCAGTTACCAGTAGAGGTCATTTTCGTCGAAGAGGCGTTCCACAAATGAACAAACTTGGCCACTGTAATATGTAGTACTTTGGCATACACCACGCCATTGATGCTGGACACTAGGGCAATCCATGTGTGCTAAGTATTGTTTCGAACGTCGCTGTCGCAGTGATATGGGCAACGCCGAAAAGAAAGACTACATCCATTACATAATGTCGTTGGCTATTCCAATCAACCCCTACGCAATCCTAATGCCATATACCAGCCTCGCAAGTTATTTGAACCGGAAGTGAACAAACTTCCTCTCTGGACTCTGCGAAGCACGGTGACTTTTCATTGGCGCAAGTTGTCTCAATCGGAAGTGAAAAGAACTTCAGCTTCAGATAACTGATCTGAAGATCTGGCATCGAGGCCGCCCGAAGTCTGCTGGAAGAAGGTCCGTCGCTCGTGGCAAATTGAGTCATAGTAAGGGGAGCCATGCGAACGCAACTGACTCACTCATTGGAGAAATCACCGTGGGCAAGGTGGGTGACATCGAAGCTGATGCATGATGGAAGTGATGTAGATTTGACTGCGTTACCGCACTTTACAGTTGGCTCCGCGTGCAGAACGAAACGATCAAAGTCGTTCTTATGCTCGACGGTGCAGAAATCACTGTAGGGCAAGGGTGGGCGATGCTCGCTGAGACCCGTCAGTGATGCGTAATTATAATCGCAGTCATGGTAAACTCTACTGTCACAAGTACTTAAAATCGTGCGTCGAACAAAACAACTATGCTCGATGGAGTAAGAATCATAGTGAGTCACTGACAACCGTGAGTGACTGACTGCGGCTTATACTTATCTCCATCAACACCTCAACCTTCCAGGCATTGATTGTGGCCTTTAAAATGTCTGAACAATCATATCATCGACATCAGACTTACAATTGCAGTCCATATATACCATCCTACCGACTCTCCAACACCCTTATCATGTCATCTCGTCAACCTGGAGGTCGAACCTCGTGGCCATCTCCACATTATCAGCATTTCGCAACCCCATCTGCTTACTCCGTGTAGGAGCATTTTGACTCCCAAATGCTCCGACCACACGACGCCAACCAGTCACCGAGTGCCTGGACTTCCACTTCTACGTCATCGCCAGTAAGTGAATGTAAATCTCAAGTCCTCACTACTGCTCACTACTATAATATCAGCTATGTGTAGTAGGACGGGGGGTCACTCAAGCGACCCAACCGAGTTCGTATCCAATGGTCATCCGGGATTTCTCTCTTGCGTTATCTATTCCAGGGACATTCTCTCGTATCGGCTTGAGTAGCCTGTACAAGAGAATGCCCCTGGTACGGGGTGTGGTCCAAAGTCTTACATTTTGTTCCAGTTGGCTCGTAGTAGACGTCATTTTCGAGCTCTGCACTGTTCAGCGAATAAAATTTACTTGACTGAACTATGTAATACGCCACTGATGCCGAAATTTGGACGCGGCTCCTGACACGTTCAACGGGGATAAGAAATTGAACAGAGTCAACAAACTACCTCATGCCTCTACCCACCGGACGTTTCGAGTCCTGTCCTCACTTTAAGTACATTGGACAAGCAGCGACATGGTCCTTAGACAATATAGTCGTGCTGGGAAATCTTGCTTTGTCATCAGCTCTGCTCGACTCGACTTTCTTTCTAAATTCTGGCGTGAAAGAACAGGAAAGAACTCTCTCCAGACACGCCTCCCGCAGATGGGATACTCCTCATGCAAAAAAACGTGGTCATTGTCCGAGGCTCAGAGAAAGACGTCAATCCAATAACGAAAGACAAATTTGTTCCGAGGATGCATGGCGGCCCAGAGTACAGACGAATTGGACTTTGCTCGTTTCTCCTCCTTGCGCAGTTTCTTCTCCAGCTCCTTTTCATCCCTCAGGAATCGACATTCGGGCAGATCATGTTCATCTCATCGGTTGCAGCCTCATGGGCATATAATTCTTTTTGTCGTCCTTAGAGCAGGAGAAGATACAAGTCGATCTCCTATGGAAAGCACTCGGCGATGCACGACTTTCGAAATTTGGCCTCAAAAGCAGTTTTTGCATGCAACGTTTCATCTCGAACGACACAGGGATATGGAATATATGGAAAGACAAAGTGGTGGAGCAATTGGAAAAAAAATGAGGAAGAAAAGTCGTTCAAGCTTAGCTCAGAAGATCTGCGAGGGTTCGAGAACATGAAAGGGCCTCCTGGTGTCATTGCTTCAAGACACAGGACGCGTATGGAGGTTACCGGGAGCAAGTACATAAGACCAAAGACAACAGCCACATTTCTGAGTTATCCAACGCTGCATGCTGCAACCCCTAGTAGATCATATCAACACAACACATGGTGAACTCGATACGCCCAGACCGTGAAGACTGATGACTACGGATGAGAGCGAGCACATACCGGTAAAGGTGTCGCTAACATACCCATGTGGATTGCTTTTGAAATAGGGATTGATTGTGAAATTAGCAGCATAATCTTCACAGGTGGAGGATATTACACGGGGAGAACACGTGCTGGATAGCTAGTCCTCATGTGCTTCCTCATGTGCTGACTCCATGCGCCCCATCAGGTGCGCCACTTAAAAGAGCAGCTGTGGACCGTATTCTGTGAAACAAATTGCAACATACGTACCATGCCCTACAAACATCCCATTGATATTCAAACAGGTCATTTTGACCTCGACGTATCCGGCGTCGCAGGGTTCTTTGGGGGTGAAGAAGCCATCTCCGCAATGCAAACCATTCATCTTTACAAGTACCGAAAATATATGGGATGGTACAACTCACCTGGCAGCTGGAACGTTGGCAAAAAGTTCGGAATGCTCGCAAATTCCCATTTTTGGGATGGGCTTTTCCCTGGACCTAATGAAGACCCCGCAAAATTCTTCGAGCTTGATGGCAAGCAGGGCCCAAAATATGTTGCTTCTAGATCTGGATCCATCCTGGAGCACACCGGCCACCTTGCGTATCTGATGATGCAGATATGCAAGGAAGAGCTAGGAGTACATGTAGGAGGAAGAGTCACAAAGCGGAATAACGTGACTCTTATCCAGACACAACTCGTTTTTGAGGAATCAACGGCAAAAGAGAAACCGCCAGTACGCACGATTCAACCTCATGACGGGCGTCAAAAATACGTTGCAATTCTACCGATAGCTGTCAGCTTCACCACATGCGCGCTTTGCGGATGGACATACGACTGGTTCTGTTGTTCGATGATCCTTCTTGGCATCATCTCAAACGGCATGGCCTCCTTGGTCATAGGGTCTGCAAGTTTAGAGCTGCAAGGTGTGAAGTCAGCACCTACGGCTCCGCCCGGAGACGGAATGCTGATGGACGGTGATGATGTCGTCCTCCTGCTCGGGAAAGAGGAAGACGTCGCTACCATTACGAGAGGCAGGTTCACTCTAAGGTATGAGCCTTGGGTTAAGATGAGGAGCAAGAAGGAAGAGAGGAAACGTTTCGTTTTTAGAGACGGAACGAGGTCAACCAAATCAAACCGCAGAAGCGATGCAGAGGACGGTTTTCGAAACATATCTTTAGACCAAGGTCCAAACCATGAGGTCGTACCCATCAGGGACGAGTACTTTGCTATTGGATCGTGTTCGCTCCTGCTCGTTGCACAACTCCTCGCGCAACTGCTCTTAATTCCCCAGGGCACATTCTTTGGTCAAATTATGTTCCTGTCCTCTTTCGCAGCTTCGTGGGCGTACAACCTGTACTTGTCCTCGATCGACAACGAGCATATCCAGGAAGAGTTACTCCTAGAAGCACTCAATCTGAATGAGCAACATATGCGGACTTACAGCCTTGGCACGAGAACAACTGCCGCCGTATTCGCATGCCTGATGCTCCAGCCTCCTGGTGTTTATGAAGAATCGGAGTGGAAGAAACTAGGTTTCGAACCAGAAGGTATCATCCGCAAATTCATTCCAAATGATACGCCAGTATGGACGACATGGAGAGAAAAGGTCTTGGGTGTAATGAGGGACCAGAAAGTTTGCAGCCGAGACACTTGCTACGATTTGCTCCAGATGAGTGACCAGGAGAAAGATATGTTCAAGCCCAATGACCAAAAGCTTCTCGAAAACCTGTTAGAGGACGCTCGCACCGCATACGAACTGGCTGTGAACGAAAAGCTTTGGCTTAAGTGTGGCTGAGGAAGATGTAACTTGCATCTACGTACATTGATTCTATCATGCGACTGTAATCAATCATGCATTTTATCTGCCGCCAGATTTGAACAATCTAAGACATGCCATCTGAAACGACTCGCCGGTGCACCACTCATCTTTACATCAAAGGAGCCGAAGGAGTCACAGCCTTGATCAGAACACGGTGGCTGCCGGTGCATTCAGACAAGTGTAAGTCCTCACTGAAGTGGACTAGCTAAGTTACTCTTCGGGGTCGTGTTGAGAAAATTTTCAAATACAAATAGAGTTTATACCCCTGTTCTTGTAGCGTTCCTAAAAAGCCTTCATCGTTACAAGGCAACATCTCCCCATAGTTTCTCTTATTTTCTTTATTATTCCTTACTCTACAGTATATAAGACTCTGATTATCTACTGTTAGAGTAGTTGATCTTTCCCCCACCGAATAACATTTAGTTCGGACAGTTCTCTCGTCTGAATTAAGTCTATTCAACAATCGACTCTACAGTGTGAACGTTTTACAAACGCCACATATTTTGAACTTCCCTAAAATCTAAATAAAAATTCTCCCTACGGCCGCCGTCAACGAGGACTGATCACCCTCGTACGCGACGACCCTGCTTTACAAAATCCTACATCTATATTCAACACTCGAAAATCAAAAATCAATATGTCGAACGAAAACGACAATGAAAACGTACCAGGTACCTTTCCGCTGAGCTCCCCAGCTGTAGTGAGCGGGTTGAGCGTTGACGCGGGCGCTCTCGACCTGGGTGTCGAGAGCGCATGGACTCGCGACAAGGTTGTCGCTAGAGTCAAGCGATCACTAAGTCTGAGGGCGGAAGCCCCGACTAGTGATCAGCTATCCACGGACTCGTGGCTGGGAGCTCTGGGAGCCCCATCGAAAACTCAAGGGCCGCCCACCACAGATGAGGGTGAGGGGTCTGCCATGATGAGCATAAGCCCTATACTAGGCAGCGTTAGTGGCTTGCAGACGTCCCACTTTAGAATACGCACGGATAGAAACGTCGACCTAGATACCAATATTCAGAACGTCGCACGACAATCTAAAGAAAATATTAGTTGGTTTGACGCCCCTAACGACGAAGATATTGGCGACGTACCTAAGTTCCCAGTACTCAAACCAATAGTACCAACCATGACGTCAACGCCTCGAGTGACCAATAAGTTTAAAGAGAAAGAAGCTAACGAAGACACTCACGAAACAGACGACCTCTTCGAGCAATGGAATGTGCTAAAGAAGAACGTCAATTGGGAGGGTAAGCCACATGACCGCGAACCCGCCGAACCTCCTCAAAGACCTGTAGAAGGTGATGGCCGGCGTGAGTCCCTCCAAGCCCAGAACGTAGCTCTACGAAGGTATCGAGATCTGGCTCGCGCCGAATTTGAGGAGCAAGAAAACCTGGTTGTCAGCTTAAAAGAACAGGTCAGAGACCTCCAAGAGATGATGAGGAGTCTAACTCACCGAGACAAGGCTCGAAAGCCTGTATCTGAAGCCAACCGACCACCGCATACTAGTGTCCCAAAACTCCAGGATCCCAAGAGTGAATCACACTGCTTAATCCAGGTTGACCGAGAACCCCCTAAAGAGCCCCAGCGTCGAGAAGCGACCGAAGACGTGAGATATCAACGAGCGTATTCGATACTCCCCGCCGGGAGCTCTGTCAAGCGCGCCATGACAGGCCTAGATGACGTTGATCTGGATCCAAGCGATCCGGACTCGGCAGATAACGCAGGCGAACGTTCGTCAACAGAGTCTAACGCTGAACGAAAGCCTAAATGCAAAGTTAAGAAACCACTTAAGTCCCAGAAAAGTAACAAAGACACAAGGAGACTCACCAATGAAACAGACGTCACTGGTTTCGGAATCGACTTCCTCGCGTTAGAGCCAGACTCAGACCATGACAGTGATTCAGAAAGTACTAAGCGCTCTAAAAGACGCGCCCGCAAGGAATACCGATCCAAACTGACTCTACTGAAGTATCAGCAGGGCTTCATTAAGAATGAACCCCCTTTCACTTACAATGGTGAGGCGAACGCCACCACTTTCAAGAAGTGGGTACGCGAAGTCCGGGACTGGAAGGACAGGGCCTGTCTGTCCCAAGGACAAAGCATTAAGATGCTCGGAAAATACCTAAGTAACCAAGCGTATCGGTTCTATGAGAGAGATATTCTAGACTTAAGAAAAGAGTATTCACTTACCGAATTCTTCGAACAACTCTTCGATTATCTGTTCCCACCGGACTTCCGGATGCAGCAGCGTCAAAGGTTCCTTGAGTGCAAGCAAGACACTAAATTGTCCGTCCGAGACTACCTGCGCCGACTCCGGAATATTGCCGATATGGTCGGTGACGTCGACGATCGCGAGATGGTTAGGCAGTTCTGGATGAACTGCCAACCGTATATTAGGGCCTCGTTAGTTGATAAAGGCTATGAGCCTAACACCGTCGATCTAGATACCATTGAGCGAAAGGCACTTAGAATCGAACGAGCGTACCTTGAGAATGCTAAAGACCCTAATATCGTCCTAGCTCTGAACCCCACCCTTGTAGCGAGCTATGCCTCTGGCCCAAACTCCTCTCGTCGAAGAAACTCACGGCCATATCAGCACTCGCATTGCGAAAAGACTGAATCCTTGTCAGCAAACGCTGTATCGGAGACACCGGCGGGAGGGAACAAACTTTCTCGACCTCGTCAGAAACCCTCCGGCAGAGGAAACAGGACCTTCCTTCAGCCTAAGAAAAATGCTGACCAAATCAAGAAACTGCGTGAGCTCAATCAGTGTTTTGAATGTGAGCAAACTGGTCACCTAGCAAAAGACTGCCCAAAGAGGCACCGGCTCCCGTTCAGACCCAGATCGACAGTTGCCACACTAGGGTCTCGAGCGATCGGGATTACCAACGATGACATTCGCAACGCAGCTATTGAGGAAGGCGTTGTTAATGGTCTGTATGGTATGGCTGTTAGTCTAGAGAGCGGTTCAGAATTGGACGTGGTAGAAACACTCACGATCATCTCTCGCACCATTGCAAACTTGAAACTAGGTGTCCCTCTCCCAACGGACGAGATCTTCGATCCTCTGTATGACCCTACTGGTAAAGACCGATTTAGTATCTGCTTGCACGGGGGACTAAACACGTACCTTTTGTCCGATAAGCACAATTACGATGACTATATCATCTACCTTGATCAGATGAGAGACCCTGATTTCGACGTTGTCTCCTGGCTAATAAACAATAAGTTGCACAACTACCAGGACTTAATCCTCACTAAGTCGTCCCTAAAGCCAACCTGGCATGGTACTCCCCTCACGCACGTATCTAGTAGTACGTCCCTCGATACTGGCAACGGCCACGAGAGCCAGGAGTCTGAGCTCCCCAAATTGATTGATACGGAAAGCAGTAGTGAGGAGGAGTCGGTAGAAGTGGACAAAGACGAGCACTTACGATTCGTCCCTGACGCTCCCCACGGAGACGCGCCTACTGAGTGCAGTGAGCCAGTTGTATGCTGTACGAGCACCATCAGTAACCTATTCTGTGGGAGCCAGACTAAGAGGAACGATGCACCGGATATTAGAACACTTCAGCGTAGTGCATCGAGACCAAAGTCCACCACCAGGATCCTTCCTAAGTCTCTAGTAGTGATGATCTTGGTAAATAACAGACCCTGTCGGGCCCTATTAGATTCGGGCTCCCTAACGGACTTCATTTCTAGTACCGTCGTGGACCAGTTGAAGTTACCGTACTCATTACTAGACAAGCCTATACCTCTGCAATTGGCTGTTTCCAGGTCCCGCAGCACTGTCAAGGCTAATACCACCGTCGACGTAAAGTATCAGGATATCAGTGGCCCACGTACCTTCGACATCGCGAATTTAGAAGCCTACGACGTCATCCTTGGTATGCCCTTCCTCTTTCAGCACCAGATCCTCTTAGGCTTCAATCCACCCGAAATTAAGGTCCGAAGCGTCTTACCTTTGCCTATCCGAGGTGCCCAGACGCAAGTCCTCGAATTGAAGGGCACTAACCCAGAATCAGACTTGATTGACTCATACCGTAAGGAACTACTTGCCTATGCGAAGGATATCTGTAAAGAGGCACATGAGACGCCTCTCCCACCTTTACGAAGCATTAACCATGTCATACCTCTTATCAATGAGGAAGATGTATACTCATGGCGCCAATCCAAATGTCCCGAAGCACTGCGCCCCATTTGGCGGGCAAAACGCGACAATTATATTAGGACGGGAAGGTGGGAGTTCGTTAGTGGAACGAACGCAGTTCCTATGATCATGATGAAAAAGACTACTAAAGATGGATCACTCAAGTTGCGTACCGTTCTTGACACTCGCCAAAGGAACAAAAATACCCGCAAGCTGGCTTCCCCACTACCGGACATCGAGACGATCTTGCGTAACGTCTCGTCAAAACCATTCCGTTCTCTTCTCGATGGTAAGGACGCATACGAACAAATACGAGTCGTCCCGGAAGATGTTCATAAGACTCTGTTCGCGACACCCGATGGCACGATGATCAGCCACGTTATGCAAATCGGAGACTGTAACGCAGGCGCCACTTACCAATCCCTAATGAACCATATATTCGGCCCGTTCATAGGCGTGTTCATGGATGTGTATCTTGACGACATCATTATATATTCTGACACTGCAGAAGACCACGTTAAGCACGTCAGGATCGTCATTGACACTTTACGAAAGCATCAATTTTACCTTAGTGAACACAAAATGCAACTGTTCACGAATGAACTTAGCATTTTGGGCCACGTCATTGACGACGCTGGAATAAGGCTAGACCCGCATAAGGTAGATAAAGTCGTAAACTGGAAAACTCCCACCTCAAAAGACCTGCTGATGCAGTTTATCGGTTCGGTTGGTTATTTGGCGTCTGGGTGCGAAGGTGTGCGCGTAGATATGCAACACCTTTCTAAGGTGGCGGCACTTACTACTAAGTGGTCCTGGAATCCAACCGATCAGCGGGCCTTCGACCTGGTGAAGGCCTGCGTTGAAACTCACCGGAACGTACGACGTAAGGCACTTGACCTTCCCAAGGCAATAGCTAACACCTTGCCCGTCAACCTGACAACTGACGCCTCGTTGACTGGCGCAAGTGGCGTCCTTTCGCAGGGCACGGACCCTAAGAAGGCCGATGTCGTGGCCTTCTGGTCCGGGAAGTTTAACTCAGCGCAACAAAACTACCCTGTGCATGAACAGG